CTATTAAAATAATGAATTCGTATGTTCAATGATAAATACAGAGTTCACTACCCATGTCTACTCAATATATCATTAGCATATTGACATTTATTACATATATAGGCATCAAATATGATTCTATAACTAAACAAGAAAGAAAAGTTTTTTCTTTATTTTTCTTAGTGAATGATCGAGACGTATAATAAGATGTCAGTTTTCGAATGATGACAACAGAACTTTTGGTGTTTGCTTCTGGAATAAAATGTCAAGGCATATATATATATATATATGTATAAAGAGAGTGGAAGAGAGAAAGATAGTCAAACAGTCAAAAAAAAGTTATTATTTAGACTCTTTTTCTCAAGTAATACGAAACATAAATAAATACATAGAAAATAAAACATAATTACGAACAAAATAGAGGAAGATCTACACTTCTTTGTTATCGTCCTCACTCGTGCTTTACAAAAAATCACGATTGGCAACAATAGTAATATTACTTCATATTTTTCTATTTTATCTGTATTCTTCAGTTTTGATAGACAGCATACAGAAGAGAAAAACGCGTAATTGTCTAAATACTGTTATAGAAATTTTCTGAGAGCTCATTGAGTACCAATCCCTATCTTTTCTTTTTCTTTTCTTCGCTTTTCTTTTTTTTTTTTTGTGCTTTTACTCTATGTTAGAACCATATCGAGATACGTAGAAAAAAAATAAAAGGAAGAGAAAGAGCAAGATAAGAAGGAAGAGAATGATTTTGAACATTGCTTCTTTCTTATTGTCGTTTTTTCTTATTTTGTCGTCTTTCTTTTGTTTCTATACTTGATGTTACTGTTGTTGTTGTTGATGATGATGATTATGATGATGGTGATGATCGGGTGAATTCTATTTTCTTGTGTCAAACATAAGAACCAAAGAAAGAAAACAGAGAATAGTGAGGAAAAAATGACGAAGAGAGAAAAATAGGGATAGTTCTTCATCAATAGTCTTTCTTTAGCTCACTAAAAAGAAATAAGAGATTAAAGGCGTGTTTTTGCCTTTAAGCTTTCGAGCACAAGACCGCATCAATGATAGACTTATGATGAAAAAAACAAAAAAGAACTAGAAAACTTTATAAGAAAAAAAAAAAATTGTGTCACGAATTGGTCAATGGAAAACATTTGTATACGTTATAAAGTGTCAATCATAAATCTCGCTCTCTCAGGCACTTCAATTATTTTTTTCATATACTTTGTATATAATATCATTATAATTAATTGACTTTAACAAAGCAGGCAGAAAAAGAGAGAGAGATAGAGAGAGAAAATCTAAAAAAAGAAAACACATCAAAATGAACTAGAGCGTGGCTTTGCATTGGTCACAACAGCAGGATGGAAAAAGACAAAAAAGGTAAGAAAAAGTTTCATATCCGGTTTTATTCGACTATCTTAATCTTGTCTTTTAAGTAGGTGTGACAAGACTATAATGGGCAGCCAAGTGTAATTGAATTTCAGATTAGTCAATACGTATAGCTTCAGGCTAGCTATCATTATTTCTAGAAAATATGAATGTATTAGATAATTATTTCTATATTTATTAAATCTTTTAATATTAAACCTTCTCAATTAGATAAATCCTTATGAAGATTTAATTATCATTCTGTTATCGTTTTAAAAATAATTAGATTTCTTTGAATTTGTAAACGTTATGACAATGAAGCCATATTCATAAATATGTCGTGTAATTCGTTGCATATGAAATTTTTTTTAATAAATAAATATATTTATTAGTTTCACGTATTTGTTTTTGTAAGAATATAGATTTCAAAATAAGACATATAATCATGAGCATGAGCATGGAGGTACTTTATGGTACATAGGATTATTTATTTAATAATGCTGACTTTCATCATTCTTTTTGATTGTCTGAAAATAACATCTTTAGCAATTTTTTTCCTTATTAAAACAAACTAAACGATGAAAAAAGTAAAAATAATTCGTACACTTTCATTTATTCAGACGATCAACAAGCATTTTATAATTAAACGGTTATTGTATTGCTTGCTTGCTTTTCTTTAACAACTCATTTGAAGATCTGTTGTTGTTGCTGTTGTGTCTTATCATTCACTATTTGCTTTTTGTCATACCGTTCCCGCCTCAATGCATCCCTTCATTACTAATGTCAACAAATTTGATGTTTGTTAAAAAAATTGTACTCAAGTTATTTTTTTGCTTTGACAACGTAATCGTCCGGCTAATTATGTGTCAACCATGTTTTCTAATATAGAAGTGTCTTATTGCTTTTTTTGTTATTATTTTTGACTATTATCATTTTCTTCTTTATACGAACTTTTAATTTTTTTGGGGGGGAAAGAAGACAACAAGAGAAAAGAAATTAATTATCCCATGTGCTTGTTCCTTATTTTTCTTTTCTATTCTTCTGTTCTGAATGACTTCAGGGCTCGGGATGACGTAGGAAATAGAATAGGCATATAGGCAAATAAATAATCGCGACCCAAGTGTAGTTTGTTTCCTATATTCTATATTGGCCTTACTTATTCCTTATTTTTGTTCATAAAAAATAGCTATACTACTACATTTTGTCACAATAGAGGTAACCAACTATGCGGGTGTTTCTGCTTATGCCTCACGGGGGAATCACGCGTGATTGTATGCCAATAATTAGTTAACTAGTCGGTTAGACATTAGCTACATTATATATTCTATAAAGAGAGTAAGCATTAAGTATGTGCATATTTATGCTTTGCTAGAGAAGATCGTTCATCACACATTTGAAAAATGAAGAAGAAGAAATGTTCTAATGGAAAAATTAAGTGAAAAATAAATGAGATAATATATCATAAATCACGCTTTTGCTTTTCTGTTTGTGTCATCATTTTGTACACATGTATACATACGCTCGTCTGCTTTGATTGTTTGCCTTTGTTATTGTTTTTTGGTTGCATGCTCATACGCCCATTAAGTCTACTCTATTTTTTAAAGACAAATGCTCCATCTCAATTATCTTTTCTTTATCAAAGCTTCAAATATACTCGTCCCATCGTTGTTCTCGTTGTTATTCCCTAGACACTCGATTCTACTGCATTGCTTCGTCATCCTAGTTGTCTTCTTTGTCACTCGTGTTTTCTCGCTTTCACTTCATCTCATCGACGTCATTTATTTTTGAAGCTCAATTATAAGCTTTTACAATCATACAAGACATGTACAAAACACTTATACAATCAGGTTAAATCGGTTTTGATTATTTCACGAAAGTGATTTGCCCAAAGCTTTGCGTTCTCTTGTTCAATATCAATGTTAGAAATTGAAGACAGAAAAATGAATAAGAAGAAAAAATATTTTTTAATAAAAACAGGAACAACACGCATAAACAAAAAAAAGTGAATGGGATTAGACATGTAGTCGAACTGAGAGAAAACGTCATGATACATAAAAATAAGGCCCACATAAAATACTTATCAGCAGGGGAAATATACGATCAGTGTCGAATGAGAGAAAAAGAGTGGGACACCCTTCAAGGTCAACTGTTTTTTTTTATTGTTTTTTTTCCTTCTCTAATAAAACACCATTATCAGTCAGAACTAATGACGTGTTTGGTCGTGAGATAGATCTACACAAGTTAATGAGTGAAAATTGTCATTTTCTGATCTACTCATTCACACGTGTACGTATCATTAAAGTTTTTGGTGTTTTTTCTATATACACACCGTTGTGTTGACCAATACACTTCATGCGGTGCACAGACAAATCTGTGAAGACATCTTCATTTTCAATGAGATTTCATGTGTTGTTCTATATCATTCGTTGTTGTATATGGATAAAAAAAATCTTATTGAATATCCGTCATTAAGAAAAAAAACGAGAAAAAATTATTGAGAACTTTGCGCCCGATTAGTTCTCTTCAGTTCGAGTAGATTTTTTCAACAGCTTTTCTCCTTCATTTTCCTCTCATGCTTATTCGATAACCCATCGATTTCGCCTATTCATATTCATCAATGAGGCGTTTGCGCACAAGTGAGTACGCTCGTTTACTAGGGAAAAAACCGAGACTTTAATTCAAAATCACATTATGTCTAAGAGAAGAAGAAAATTTTGACGAGGATGAATACACGAAGAAAAGAAAGAAATTCCTTTCTTTTTTTTATGAAGTGACATTATTATCAACTAATTGAATCGGGCTAGGATGAGCATGATTTCCGAGAACATTGTTTTAATCTATAGCCATCTTTTCTCTCTCTCTTTCCCTCTCTCTCTCTCTCTCTCTCTCTCTCTCTCTCTCTCTTTCTATTTTTTTTTCAATGGACAAAAAAACAAAAAACTTAGCAGTGATGAGTCTCTATTAGTTAGATAAGAACATATCACTTCATTTGTAGATAGATCATAGAAAGAAAAAGAAGAAGAAAGAACAAAGTTTCAAAGATGACATTAGCGCACGCACATCTATTTAAAGCCATACTATTAACAATGGATTGCATGAATACATAATTTTAGCTAGGGTATTTAGCTTGAAATTTTCTTTCATAAGAAAAAAAAAAAGTCACTCTCTATCTTTTCTTTTTATCCTTTTTTCTTAACCATTTTGACTGATGACAGTAGACATGCTTATTTATATATATATATTTTTTTTTTCTAATTACAAAAATGTTCTCTATCATATTTCATTGAAGACAAGAGAAAAAGATTTTTTTTCTATTGATGAAATAGCTTTAAATGAGTATTCATATTTATTTTACGATCTATAAAATAAAGTGTTATAACTTTCTTCTACTTTTTGAAATACTAGACAAAAAAAAATAAGATGACTTAATTGTTTTACTTGTTTGTCTGCATAGAAGCACTTCTTTACAATTTACTTGAAATTCTTCTTTTTCACATTAAGTTTTTTTCTTGCTTAATATGTCAAATAAAATACCTAATGAATTTTTTCTCCATTATTTTTTTCTTAAAGATATGCCTGTAAGAAAAAAAGCAACAACAATTTCATCATGTATGTTAAATTAAATAAATTCTCTTTAAATATACATGTCGACGGGGAACATCGATAATTTATACGGTGATACTGGTGGTTTGCCATCGGATTCAGTTCTTGCATTACTTGATCAAGATACTCAAGTATTATTTGCATTGATTAAAATATTACTCAAAGTTTATCCGGTGCTTGTATTTATATTGGGTTCATTTGGAAATTTACTTTCATTTTGTGTTTTAATTCGTACAGCTATGAGACGCTACTCAACATTTTGTTATTTAGCTTGTCTTGCTCTTGTTGATCTTGGAGTTATAATTACATTTTGCGTCAATTTTATATCTCTATATCATTTTAATCATGATATTCAAAATGAACCATTGCAATGTAAATTATTTGCATTTTGTATTTATTTTCTTCCACAATATTCATCATGGATATTAGTTGCTGTTAGTATTGATCGTGTTATATCAGTTAAATATCTTCGCTTAGCTAAGACATGGTCAAAACCAAAACATTCAGTATTAGTAACATTTGTCCTTGGAATATTTTTGGCTATTCTCAATAGTCATTTTTTTCTTTATAAAAATCATGCGAATGAACAACGAAATCAACAAGAAACAACTATATCTAGTCAACAACAACGAATATCGAATAATATTAGTGCATATGCAACTTATTTATCACCAAATGCATTTGATACTTCAGAAGGACATAGTTCAGTTTTAAATATTTTTTCGGGTTTAGGAGAAAGTCTAGGAGCAAGTGATTCATCATTATCATATGAGCCATTTACACCAGTACCAATTGAATCTGTTAGTCGAGATACAACTATAGAAGGTCCATTTGACAAGTTTATGTCTACAAAATCAAAGTTTACACCATTTTTTGATGTGAATGTTATACATTGTTCACCTGAACATTCAACTCAACATATAAGTCTTTATCGTTATTGGGTTTGGATTGATCTTGCTATGAATGTATTTATACCATTTACAGGTAAGATATATAAATAAATACAATAAACTTATTTCTTTGATTTTTGTTTTGTTTTAGCAATGATTGCTTGTACAATAATAATTATTTTAACACTTGTTCGTTCATCATCTCGAGCTTGTTCAACATCAGCTCGTCGTTCACGTCGTCGTCGCAATATATCTGTGATGTTAATTACTGTTAATCTTGTTTTTATTAGTTTAACAGCTCCAATCGTTATATTTTTAAGTATATATGAATACGTTAAAGATGACTTTAATAATTATCGACACACAGTATTAGTATTAATTAAAATTCTTTGTATTATTTTAATGAATCTTAATCATTCAGTTAATATTGTTATTTATTCACTTACAGCACGAGAATTTCGTTCTGAAATGACTAATTTTTTACATGCAGTGTTATATTGTATTATTGGTAAACCTACGAATTCAATAGATATTTCATTTACACATGATGATGGAACATTCTTATCACGTATAAGACGTTTTAGAAATAATTTATTTAAATGTTGTCGAATGAAAGTACATTCAAATTCAACTAATACAACTGATTCAAGTGGTTTACAACATACAACAATGCCTCCAGGAACAAATAATACTCGTGTATCAAATAGTAAAAAAATGAGTAAATGTAAACGTTTAGAACGAAATGGAAATCGAAAATGTTCAATTGTACCTAATAGTGAAACATTAACACATAAAAATACTCGTCATCTTACTGTACAATTACAAGCTGATGTTGTATCATCTGTATATGAACGTGAAGATATTTCATTTCATGGTTTATCTGTATCAACTGAAGATTAAGGGAAAAAAAAATCAAATGAAATGAAATCTCTGTGTCCTTGTACAGTTTTAATATTATTATTTCTTCTTTTATTTTTTTTTTCTTTTCTTGTGTTAAGTTTATTTGTTATTATTCTGATTTTCTGGTTTGTTTCTATCTGCTATAACTGCCTTCATTGCTTTTCTTTCTTTTTTTTTTTTTGTTTTTTACCTATATGCATTTAATCTTCTCCTTGAACACGCAAAAGACAAATATCATTACAACGAGAAGAAAATACAAAAGAATACTTGATATATTACTATTATATATGTATATATATATCATAGTTGAGAATAGTATAGTAGGAACAATTTAGTTTGATACACTAGGAACATAATAGAGATCATATTAATAGAAAACATGCAATGTTCTACAATTCAATTACAAGTTAAAAGATATTTGTAACAGAACCAAAAGAAAAATCATTCAGTCATCATATAATCAACATTCTTATCTCATGGGATTAAATCTATTCAGTTATAAATTATATCAATCACTTTCTTCTTTTCTTTTCAGATATATATTATTTCAGTTATTTATGCAACAATTAATTAAATCTTTAGTAAGTTTTAAGATAAATAACAATATACGGTACAAAATACATTTCAGTTAGTTTTAAAAATTGTCAAGATATAACGATACGTATGGCTTTGTGTCACACAGAGATGATAAAAAAAAAATCTTGATTGACATAAATTCTGTAATACTACAAATAGTCCTACATAATCACTAAATTCTTCAAGCAGACATCAATCGATATAATAATGCATCAGAACTTCTTTTATAATACATGTTTTCACAAATTTTTAATAATAATGAAAAACAAATGTCAGTTATTAATCAGTATTAAGCACTCTTTTGCTTTGTATCATATGATAAATATATTTCTATCTCGTCTAGTAATGAAAAAAAAAAGAACATTAATAATGTGTAAAATTAAAAGACAGTTTTTATGTACGGAGGTGACTTTCTTGTATTATTAGTTCTGTCGGTCTCTAGGGATTGTTTATGAATATATTTTTACTTAATGTTTGAGTTTTCATTTTGGTAAATAAAAATGATGAATTTTTTTTCTTAATGCTATTGAAAAACAGAATATTCTGTTTCATGTTTGTTATTGTATATAAAACCTTTTGTATTTTTTCAATTAAAATGTTTTCTAATTGTTACATATACTAGTGTCATATAGAAGTGTTCCTATTGACTTATACTTTCGAGAACTTACCCGGATAAAGAATATTCATGTTCAGAGTACTTGTCATATATACAAAATAGAACTATTTCCTTTTTTTAATTAAAAATTTAGCAGGACATACGTCAGATAGCATCATTAGCTTCAATACGCGATTACAAAATTTTTTTTTTTTCTAGTGTTACGTCATCATATGATTGCAAATTATACTATATTTATTGTAAAGAACGCTCAAAAATGAGAAAAATGTTACTGTCAAACATTTTCGAATATCTTTGATCTTTATTGTACATAAATACTGAACACTATTCAATGCATAATAAGTGGGTGTCGGAAACACATACAAACACAATCTTGTTAAAAGTTTTTCTTTCCGTAAAACATAGAAGATCATGTTCATCTTTCATTCCTGCAGACATTTCACAAGTTCTACTTCCGTATATTAATGCAACATATGACCTGCATGAAAATGTCAAAATGTCACTTGTGTGTAATCATAAGATTATTAGATTTTTGTCAAAACTTGCATGTCAGTACAAAAAATTGATACTCAGATAAATCTATGCTTACATGCAAAAAAAAAGAAAATCACTATTTTGTAGTGTCATGCAACGATTGTTGTTTTATTCTTTTTTTTCGATGTATTTTTATTGATTCTTCGTTACAATGGACTCATTTTGTTATAACCGTACAGTATTTGTCGAAAAAAATCTTTTTTCATTGTTCAAATTCTCTAATGATTATTAGAATTCAAATACATTTATGTTTAAAAATGTTATGGACGATCATTTCATTTTATAATTTTTAACAGAACCTTACTTTAAATAGATATTAAAACTAAAAAGAAGTTAAACTTATGATTTACATTATAAAAGGGCTACTTCTTAATTGCGGACAAAATTTCAGCCGTCACCCACACTGTCGGCATGCTAATTGCTTTGATTTTTGTCTGTAATCAAGAAGACACGTATAAAAGTTAAAATATTATATTGCAAAAGATTTGTATGTGTTAAGTGCAAATGTTTCATTTTTTTTGTGTCATTTTATCTTTTTTCAGTATGCACACACGGGAATGTTCACTGGTTAGCATAGAAGTTTTCTCGAAAAACTTTCGTTATATTTTTGCATATAAAAGTATAAAATGTATACAATGCAGACAATTTCATGTGTATGTAGGCGAATATAGTTTAGTCTTTGATGCGTTCACATACATATTATGCTATAACGATTCATGCATGTGCAGGTTATATTATCGCACGATTAGACGCGTTTTTCTTTTGTAATTGTGAATAATTGCGTAAATAATCATTTTAAAAGCTAAAATTGAGTTTATTTTAAGAATCCATTGTTCAACCTTACTTAGTTTTGTCAACTAAACTAACACTTCCTCTTGTTTCATCTAGATATAACAAGAAATGAAACCATATTTTATTTTGCAATTTCTTTTTCAATATCTGAAAATGCTTAATTTTAAAAATAGACTACAACAAACAAAATAAATGAGACCAAAAACACGTCTGATTTTTACTAACTTTTAACAGTCAGACTTTTCTTCGAAATAATTTAATAGAAACAACAGGGCGTGGTTAAAAGTAATCGATTATCATTCAAGCGTGTCGAAACAAAAATATAGTAATGATTAGTCAGATCATATACATGTATATATATATAGAATGTTTTCATATGAATGATCACATATGTACAAATACATGTTTTACTTAGTATAACAATTAATTATCAATGAAGACTACAGAACAAGTAACATGTAATACATGGTTGTCATCGAAATGCTTATTTATATCGAAATATATTCTTTCATATTGTTTTTATATTCATATTATATTAATAATATCGATAGCCATTATCCAATTACGGTTTAGTATAGTTTATAAGAATCATTGTACAATAGATGATCGTATTATTCTTTATTTATTTATTGTTAGTATTATTCAAATAATATATTCATTGAATGGAATATTTCTTATAATATTTTCTCTTTTATATAATAAATATCAACATATTTTTACTTTTCTTTTAATATGTTTTGTGATTCATCAAATACTTACTATATTTTTTATTATATGGTTTATTATTGGTAACTATTTAGTATTTCATATAGTGAAAAAAGTTCAGTTTACGAATTCATATAAAACTAGTACTTATTGTAATTATACATTATATCAAACAGCATTTTGGATAATAATTACTCATTATATCTTAATCATTTTATTTTCTATCATTTTAATAGTCATAAATAAAAAATGGTTTTTAAAAAAATTTCAACATTTGAAGAATAAATTCTTTAAAAAATCTCAAGTAATAATTGGTATGGAAGTTAATCAAATACAATCTGAGTCGTATAGAAAATAATAATATTTATTTTACCTAGTTTGATCGAAACAATGCAAGTCAAATCATGTACCTTTATTATTTGTTTTTTTGTTTTTTATTCATTAATTCTAAAGCAAAATTGTAGATTTGGTCAAAGACATTCATAAATAAATCTTTGCATAATATATCCGATTGAAAAAAAATACTTAGACTACTTTATTAAATAAATGATAATAAGAGATAAAAAAATTACTAACAATGAATGTTTATCTGTTAGTTTAAACATAATCTAAATATACATAACAAAGAAAAAAAAAGTATGTAAATTGACCAGTACAAGTGGTAAATGACATTTATTTAGTCCATCTTGTGAACAGTCGAATGAATTCATCTAAAGTTTGCCGTGTGTGCTTCGTTTCGTTTATACTCACACAAACTATATTGTTCAATCCGGTCAGTGACACACAGGAACACACACACACACACACACAGACTCACCGACGTCGTCATTGTTGAGCTCAATGTAAACAGACAAACGAAGTTGATCTATATAGAAAAAGAAAAGAACGAACCTTTTCTGTCTTGTCTTTCAATCACTAAAAGAAAAAAAAGAAAACGATATGAAGTTTTTATTCATTATTCAATTGATAATAATCTATTGGAAAAAATTTGCTCGTAAAAAATATTTCTTTATTAAAAAGTTTTCTTTTATTAAACTTTTCTTTTTTTTTGTCAAATAGAAAATTCTGATTTACGTGTTGTTTGTTATTATACAAATTGGTCATTATATCGTGAAGCTATGCCAACTCTTTATCCAGATCATATAGATCCATTATTATGTACACATATACATTATGCTTTTGCTGATATTAATCCATTAACATTGGCAATAACACCAACAGAAGAACATGATATTCACTGGACAGATCGACTAGGAATGGTATTAATAAAAATATTTATATTTTTCTTGTTATTATTTTTGACTTTTTTCAGCCACTTTACCTTCGTATGTATGGTTTAAAACGGCGAAATCCTAGTTTAAAAATAATTCTATCTGTTGGTGGTTGGTCAGCACGTAGTAAAGGTTTTAATGCCGTTTTAAGAAGTGATAATAATCGGTAAGAATAGACTTACTAGGCAACTCTTTCAGTTGATAGCCTCTTTTCGAATTCATGTTTTGCTGATTGTTAGCGAGCATTGTATAGACAAAAATCTTAAAAGGATATGTGCCATGAGTAGTTTTTTTCTGAGTTATGATCATTTTAGTCTTAAGTTTTACCAACAAATAAATTGCATAATCCTTATAATACTCTCTAAGTTTCAACCAAGCCCAATAGTTTCTTCTCAAAATATTGTGTACTCAAAAAACCATAGGTTTTGTTCAAATTTTTTGCTAGAAAATAGTGTATTTGCCTATGTAAAAAATTTTTGATAGAAATCTGATTAAAAATCGATTAA